AGAGAAAGAGAATTGGCAAAATCAAAAATTCTTTTTTTTTGTGTGTTTATATTTGTGAATATGTTTTATTCATAAAAAAATAATGTTGATTACTTTAGTGATGCGACCATCGTTCGAGAATTAGTCACACAACAGTCAGTGTTTAACGCTTTAATTTTCCGGTATTTTTAGTGCTTGTGCCGAACTCTTTTTTGCCATATATAAACTACAAATAGTTTTAATTTAATTAGTATCGATACCTTCGAAAAAAAAAATTTTTTTTGAGCTTAAGGCTATTACTTAATGCATTGTTCATATGTGTGAAAAATGTTGGCGTAGATAGTGAGAGAAGAAAAAAAATTTATATGAACAAAATTGCAATGACCCTGACAATTTATAAGTATTCCGTATAATAAACTCCTCTACTTGTATTAAAAAAAAATATTCAAATAATTCACAAAGCTATCGACTTAAGTAGTGACTATAGTAAAATTAAAGTAAAATAGCTGATAATAATCTGAAAAAAAAAATAACAATTAATTTAAATGAGTTCAGTTGGATTGAAAACAACATCCACGGAGGATAAGATGAGCATGTATGAGAGTATGGTTGAAGAATTGGTTGCTGATGAAAACTCTCGCTACATATTGGATGGTAAGTTTGAGGCATGTCGGCTTCATTTCATTATACTTAATGTGTTTTTTCTCATCATTGCCTGACAACACATAAATTTTATTTGATGTGATGCTTGCATGTGAGATTCAATATTTGTTTTAATTTGGCCACACCAGTGGTGCTTGACATGTGTGCCTTGGGACTTAAGTATATTTAAGATTTGCCATTGAGCAGGAGATATTCAGAATCCCAAAATATCCTGGTGTCCTTCTCTGTGAGTCGGCCGAAAGCCAAAAAAGCTTGCAAAACTCTGAGCTATGCCAAAAAGAAGAAAAATTGAAAATTATATTTTTAATCGTGGTCACATAAAAAAATGTATTTTTAAATCCATCAGAAATATGAAATTTTGATTGATGTTGATGAAAGCTTCATCTTCTTTCCGGACAGTTTTCTCACCAAACCTTAATTCATAATTAAATGAGAGTGTTCACAAAGTAATTTAGAACTCTCGACGTATAATTGATTAACACACAGTAAAAGTATAGGAAATAAACTTTCAAACTGTAAGTGGAACAAGTGATTTATTAAAATTAGAACCTTACCTTCGAAAAGCGACATGACTTTCTATATTTGTAGCATTGTACAGTCCAATTTTAGCCGTAATAGTAAAGTGGATTTAAAAATGAATGAAAATTATTGACAATCAATTAAAATGTTGAAGGCTCATTGATATTTGAAAGACTGTGAATTTGCACAGCCGACAAAAAGAGGTTCATGCCAAAATGATTTGCTAATTTAGACATATTTACACTCCTCTATCTCTAATATTTCATAATAATTAGCGAGTCAAGTGATACCATCAATTTCAGCTGAAGTTCGGCATTTGATAGGAATGTATTTATGAGATATTGCCGAAAGCATGATTCGTTTCTTCTTTATTGCACTTCATAGTTATTGCGATTGTAAATTTGCTTAATGTAGCAAGTGAATTGAAGGTATTACACTCGTAAACAACTGTTATTAAGCTCTTTAATTCTCGGTCGTCAACAACGCACATGTGTGTTTGTCAGATCAAAAAATAAAACTAACACAATTTCAGTTTTTAATTAACGCATATTCGAGTAGTTATTGATTAATTTACTTCCGTTAGCTTCAACCTTACCTTTTGTACTCTTTTTTGAAATATTCCATAGCACTTAATATTTAATAAATGACGTTAATTTAATTATTTTTGTAGCATAAAAAAAATATGATCTCGTGTCATTGTTGCAATTTCGAAAAGTGTTTTGAGTAACAAACATGTGTATGAATGTACACGAGCAAATATTCATTTTCACGAGAGATGTCTTAATGGAGTCCAATTTCTCAATTATAGAGTTTTGCAAAAAAATAAGTACATTAGACTGTCTGAAAGAAAGTTCAATTTTTGTTTCATTTATTTTTATTATTGTTACTTCTTTAGTTTTTCCACCATGAGTGAGAGACTGAAGGTGGAAACTTGTAAACGAGTACTTAATGACATGAAATTAAGGCGCATTTTTCATTTGTCAAGTTAAATTGTCAGATTGTTTTTTGGGATATGATGTGATTGATTATGATGGGACTTCTCAAGGGTATGTAAAGCTGCTGCTTCATTTCTTGTTGCTTAACTTTCTCGATGTTCAAGGTTTGCACTTATGTGAGAGTTCGGGATTTTTCCAGCCAAACTGACACACTGCAGATCATAGTTTGAAGAGACCAGCATTACACAGTCCTATAATTAGTATAGAAGGCGTAAGAATCAGCAAGTATATTTTTTTTTGCGAATCACCGCTAGCCAATAAACAGGAAGTCTGAGGTTATACTGCTTTAATTTGACCACAACATCAAAATTAAATATTAGGGGAAATAACAGTCAATTTTTTTATTAGCACACCTTGCAGGAAGACTTGCGAAAAAAATTATCAAAAATTATTCTATTAAAGATCAGAAACTTATTGATGTTATGACAAGGAAAAAAATTATAAAACAAGCATGACATTTTGTCAAGTAATCCTTCCTAGAGATAAGTGATCCATCCAAAGTGATGAGCTCATCAGATTTGAGTGAGGCAGAAATTCGTTAAAAACACTAATGTTGAGTGAGAGAGAAGTTGAAACAAAAATTATGCAATTTCGTAATAAGATAATTGGCTTGAATTGCACATATTTTTCTCTTTCATTATGCTTGAATATATATAAATTTTAAGAAAAGAAAAAAAAATCATAACAAGTGAGGATAAGCATGATGATGATTGCTGGAATTGTTTGAATTGTTAATCGATAGTAAATGAAGTGCTTTCATCGTAAATTTATTTTTTTCTTTCGCTTTTTTTTATTGACTCAATGAAATGTAAAATTTACACTTCATTATTTCAAATAACTGACTGCAATAGACTTTTAATTGCATCATATAAATCAAAAGATAATAAAATATGAATATGTAAAAGAAAGAAGTTCAGAAGTGATGGGAAAAAGTTACAGAATCGCTGCCTATTTCGTGTTTATGCAAATATCTTGCCACCGGCATTGAAGCTACATTTTTCCTCAGATGGAAAACTTTTCACATTTTTTTTTTTTGTAACTTGATGAAAAATGCTCCATTCTTTTAATATCTATAGACATGTTTTTTTGAAACAATTAAATTGAAAACGTATATAATTAAGGGCATCTAAGTCATTACTTCCACACATTAAACAATACTCATATACATGTGATCTTAATTAAATAACAATGATAAGCCAGATTAATTTAATTACAAGGTACACGCACTCTCTCTATATGTTATTTCACTTCTATCATACATCTGTACCTTCTCGGTTATTTTTTTTGCAAGTGTGTAACGTGAGATTAGTCGTGGACTCAAAAATCTATCTATAGATAAAACAGCTGTTGATAAAAACCACTGAAAAGGAAACAAAATTAACAGTAGCAGCTTAGTTTATCTCATTACGTCAGTTACCACTTGACTTGTAATTATATCGCGGGAACTTCGCATCTAGAAAGATATTATTATTGCAGCTTTTGTAAGACATTATAGACGACTTTGTTTATGAACTCAGGGATGACAAGTTTAGGTGCAAAATTATTATCTAATTAATTAGAATCGTCTGAAATATTTATGACTTGGCTTGCGCATTTCTCTTTATTGGTTTACAATTTAAATTATTCCCGTATATACTCATTCAAAGTTCAAGACAGTCACAAAATCCATAGCATTCTTACTCTATCTGTTTTTGGTTTCGTTTTGTAATTCTATTCGAAATTTAATACCTACTCTTTATCGTATTATACAGTTCTATGTAATCGGGTCTGTAAATAGAAACCGGGTAAATAAAAAAGTCTACTTCTTTATTTTAAAAGTGCCTTACATCATCATTTGCTTCGAATTACTTATTGTTTTTTTTTTGTATTGATAAAATGTCATATGGTGAAGCTATATGTATAGTTAAGTAGCTTTAAGTCGTTTTGAAGACTTTACAGTGCAAGAACATTCAATCCGATTCAGAAAATTACAAATTATGTCTTAACGGGTCGAAGTGGAAGATTCTGATTCCTTTTAATGAAATTATTTGCTCAGTTGTTGATGATGTTTATCAAATAATTTATTTTTTTGCATCCTGTATTAACCATTTGACTCAAATAAATTCAGCAAAGCTTTAGATTTCTGGTCGTCATTGGAAGATGGATTCAAAAGAATAATCTCTTCAAATATTTCATGTTCAAAAAAGATCTTAAGACTTCATTTTATTATCATTCGCTAATCCAAATGATAATGATAATACGCACCTCATAACTAATCCAGTAAGAGAGATTAAGACACAAAACAATGTAGGTCTTCATTTCTCTGTATTGTTGATAGACATAAAACATTTCTCATGTTTATAAATGCAATGGAAATTGTTGCTACCTACCTAATGTTATCTACAAATTCTGTTTACTACTTTATCATGTCGATTCCGTTACAAAATGAGCAAAACAGAAAGAGAGAAAATTGTATTGCAATAGAGTAATTAATGCCTGCAAAATTGCCTTCAAACAGTATCTAGCAGATAGATTGCAAAGATTATTGCAATTCGTTATCATGTGAGAGAGTTTAGAAGAAAAAAAAAGTATTTTCTTCTTTTAATACGTCAATTTTGATAGAGATTCCGTGAGTAGAAAAAAAAACATTAAAATTGCCCTCAAACACTACGAACTCCCCACGATGTTAACATACATTCATATAGTTTTAATACCCAAGCACCCGACAAACTCGCGAAGTATTTTTTCTTTCAGCTTTGCGAATTATTTTCAATTACATTTGCCTTTTTTTATATTTCAAAATATATAAAACGAATAAAAAAATAAAAATACTTTGCGGCAGCAATTTCTCAGTTGTTTCTGTGTTGCGGTAGGCGATGGAAGCAAACTCGCAGTTTAAGTGCAATTTACTGAATATTTTAATTTAGTGTCTTAAATTTTTGAGATCGAATTGAGACATAAAGCCTTAATTTGCATAAAGAATTCGTGAACAAAAAAAAAAGCTTTTCGCTCAATTTGCTTAATTTAAATTGACATATTAAGATATCAAAGCAAAGACGTCAAAAAGTTTAATTGTGTGTTAATTTATGTTTTCATAGAAGTGTTAAAGTACATCCGGACATTCAATCGTCATCTCAGCAATATGCTGCAATTTGACTTAGTGAAAAGATTATTTTGGCAATATCTATACTCACATGTACACAATAGGAAATGACTTAATTTAATAAACTGTAATAAAAACAATATCGGATGATATAAAGTAATAAATATAGTTGTAGTGCTCAGTGTAATACAAAGTCAGAAGTGCCTTCAATTGGAATGAAAAGAAAACAATTGGCCATAAAAGTAAAATTGATTAGATGTTAGTCACACATGACTGAATCTGACGTAGTTAAATGTTTTCAATGTGCACGAAAATAAAAATTTATCGTGAAAAATCAGTGAAATTTTACTTTTTCTATTTTTTGCAAAATGAAAACTTTTTTCGGCGAGTCTAGCCTATCGTGACTGATTTTAGTGCAAAATTGCTACTCTTGGTTCAATAAAGTTGCTTCTATTTGTTTAAACTTACATCTTATGGCTGATTAAGCTATAAATTGCAGTGAAAGAACTCACAAAAAGTGAAATTCGCAAATGAACAAGCTATTTGAATAATTAAAGGATGGAAATCGATTTAAAAATTAATTGAAGAGCATATTTAAAAGTCAAGAAAAGAAAATGTTGATAAATTGAACTTCCGTGAGATAAAAAGAAGCAACAACTTTTTCTTTATTTTTTTTTTTTTTTTCATGTAAAACAAAGCAAAAAGCTTTTATCAACAAAGAAAATGGAATTAAAAGATACAAAACCACAATCAATAACTGTTATCAGTGAAAAAGTTCAATCGGTAACGACTGTTGGACAGAAGAGTCACGAGGAAATATGGGATCGAACGCCTATGTTATCTCGGATGAATTCAATGGAATGTTGGGACTATACGATTGAATTGGAATGTCTGAATGGACCACAAGGTTAAAGAAATTTTCTCTCACTTTTTTATGTTAATTGATTCTTAATAAAGATTATTCTATGACCGTGTAAGGCAGTGCGTTCATGCTGGAATGTTATGGATACTAAACCACACACAAAACTTAAAATTGAGGGAATGAGAAAATCTTAAAAAATTAAAAGTCATTGTGTACGCAATCAAATTCAATGACTGCTTAATCTTCTTACACATAAACGTCTGCCTGTCTGTTAGGAAATTAAGTTTGGATAGTAAGACCAAAACGTTGCTTATTTTATGATTTTTTATGCTGAGAAAATTAATTTTGCAATTTTTAAATTTCACATAAAAGAAAATTTATGACAGTGACTAGGGAGATCTGTTTGATTTTGATTGGAAAGCTTGATAAAAATTGGTTTTAATTTAAATGTAACTGCCTAAACCCAAAAATCATAATGTCCACAATCAAAAGTGTTTATAGAGGAAACGTTTATCTCCGACTAAAACTTTTCTACAAACTTCCTCAAAAGCTATGATATTCATCAGATTATAATTGTATTTTAATTAGTTATAATGCTATACATAAGGCTAAGCAACCTAAAAGTATCATTGTCAAAAAAGTAGATAATAATCTACAACTATCATCAAGATTTCAACATCATTAATTTTGAATTTCCTTTTCACTAGATTTTTTTTGTTGCTCGTGAGGTTTGTTGGCATTAGAATAAGTCGTCTACGTCAGTGTCTTAAGGGTCATTTGCTTATGACGTTCAATATTAGTGGAAATTATAGGAATAAGTCAAAAGGTTTGTTCTTGGTACTATCACGTGCTCCGGTAAAGTTAACAATAGAGTTTATCAAGATAAAGATGGCAACTTTAAGAGAACTTTTTGGACTTTCCATTAATCTGGAATTTTTAAGAAATTGTCATTTAGACATGACTTTCAAAAAAATCCCCTTGAATAAAGTTTAAACCACAAGCAAAAGAGTTAAGCAGACACAGATCTTAGCTTCAGAATGTCCCGACGTCATATAATCAATTCTGAGGAATTAATTTGCATATTTAATATAAGAACGTCGTTGCCAGTTTTGAAAATAATATGAAGTCATTCACATGGGGTCATATGTGATTCTAAAATTAGAAACTCAAAATTTGTTGCAACTTTTTTTTCGTTCTAAAGTTTCGTTTTTATATTTTCTTGAACAATAACCGACCTTGTTGGAACCTTTTGAAAAAAAGAATAATCGCGTTGTTTATTTTTATGAGTTTAAACTTCCTTCTTTTATTGAATAGACGAAGATTTTTGACTTGAAGAAGTTTCTTGACTGATCAAACAATTAGTAGCATTCTCATGAAATTCTCTGTGGATAGAGAAATGAATGGAAATTTAAATGCGGTGCTAATTAAAAGAACAAAAAAAAACATGAAAAATTGAACTTTGATTTTTACCGACACTGTTTATTGCATTCGGTGCTTATTATTCTTTAATAATCTTTTTCGTCTTCCTCATTCATGAATTCAAATTGGAAGCTTTTAAAAGTCAGGAAGAAGAGTATCAAAAAAATATTGATTTTTTTTTCATGTTCAATGCAATTTTTTTGTGGCATCGAATATGATGAATAATTGCTATCGATTTAGCCTTTGCCACTTGAGCATCTGAGAGAGAAAAACAATTGGTGCTTATTGGAAATCTTTCTCTTTATGCTGCATTTCTATGAAATTTTAACCTTTCCATTGTGCTTCCAATGCTGTAGAGCAGCAACAAGCTGTTTCATCATTTTACAAATTTCAAAAGTAATTACTTATTGTTTCTTCATTGATCGTTTAAAGTCTAATTATAAGGTCTTTTGATGATGCGCAATTAAAAACGAATAAATTTTTTGGTTTCACTGTGCCTGTGTGCGATATTCGATTCCAAATTGAAATTATGAGTATTTTGAGTTGTAGCAAAACAATAGCTTCAGGGCACTACCTGCAAGCTATTCAATATTTTTAGCAAGTCTGATCAAAAAGATCTCATTTACTTCACCACATGTCAGATGATGCTTAATTATCTGAACATTTACTTTATCATTTTGTAAATTGAAATCATTGGTTATGCGATGATGGTAATAATAATTATTATTATGATGTGAGCAATGCGGTTAGTGTAAGTGAGATTATCCATAATGGCATAATTAATCCCCGCATAAACGCACTAACCGAGAAAGTGTCTTAATTTAATTTAAATGTAATTAAATGCTCGCTTAAAGGCGTAAAATTCGTTTGTCACAATCGCGTCTTTCATTGTTTATGCTGGATTTTATGATGTTGGGAAAAGTTTAAGTGCTTGACTGAAGATAAGCACATTCAAACTTTAATGTTTATAAATAAGCTTAAAGTTAGGAAAGCAAGCAGTCATTATTGAGTTTTAGTGTCAAAATTATGTCACATACTGCTCATTTCGCTATTGATAATATAATAGAAAGAAGCGACTAATTGTGGCATAATTGTAAGGCAATTAGGGCTTGTTTACTATTTTCTTAAACATTGCTTAGCAGCAATTATGATGTCTTCAAGAAGTAAGGCTCAGTTGAGCAAACAATAAGCACAAAGTAGCTAATTTTTCCCATGACTTCGTCTTTCTCTTTGCTATCTATTTTATTGTATCAGGCATTGTCTTTGTAACAAATTTTCATTATTATTGATGTAAATTGAATCTCTTTTTGGGGCTGTTCATAAATTATGTCTATGTATGTTTTATTTCACTTAATTTACTTTTGAATGGAAGGAATCAAACCTCTCAATACTCGGACGGCATTTGTGAATGACTCAATTTCTTTCACCTTCTTCTGATCTTGTCAAGAACAATGGTCTTGGTTTCTTATGCTCAAAGTGAGCATAAAAAATTATATTCAATTAATCATTTATTCATTTATGCTGCTTTTACAAGCTTGGTTAATTAGGAAGTCAACTTAACTTTGATGATCGCATTACATTCAATCTTAGTTTTTAATCATTTTTAATTTTTCATAAATTAGCGTGCGGCTACAAATCTGTTACGGCGACTTTTTGTTACATTTTTTTATTTCCATTCAAAGACACCCGGTAGCCTTTAATAACTTCTTCTTCTCTGTTTGAGCATAAAAGTGTCTTTATTGAAGGATTAGCAAAGTGCGGTAATTTTTGGCATCAATTTTTGTGAGAGACGATGATGATAATGATTCTAAAAAAAGCTGCAAGATGATGATTCTTGAATTGAAATGGGTCAGGAAAGCTATCTTAAAAGAAGCTGTAATGTCTTAGCAACAGGCAATTTTAAGTTTTCTAATACTTTCTATATTAAGAATGGCATTTACAACTAATCTTTTTGATTTAAAATATTAAACGACACAAGTGAACGACTTCCAACTTAAATACACTGACTGGCATTAACTTTTAATGTTTTTAAGCAATCCCAACCTCTCCGCCTACCTCTTTTAGTCTTCATAAAAATAATTGAAATAAACGAGCACATAAAAATGATCACTAAAGATTGTAAGTAATTAAATTCACATCTAAGTGAATAAACATACAGCCACACCTATTTCAGCCCAAGAATTTAAAGCTGTCTCCCAAAAAAAATATCTAAATCTCAACAATGATCTAAAAGTTGATGGAAATTTCTTCTGTTGGCAATAAACAAACAATTACAAAGTAAACAAATTCTTATACTGTAACTTGCTCTACATTTTCTTATCTCATCTTCTCCATTTCCTATGCTAAATTAAATCATTATGAAGAAAAAGGTTCATTGTATTCAAATGAAGCTGTATTGTGTCACATTATTTCTCTATGAGATAGACATTTGCACACGCATCATAATAACAATGATAAATGGAAGTCTATTCAATGGTATAATTTTGTGAAAAACTGAATTACATACCTTAAAGGTATGAAATGGAACGGATGATTATTAATATTTTAAATGTGACCTTTTACATTGACGCTACCCAGATTAGTCGTATTGTTAAATGAATTAGATGGATGGATGAATGATGGATCGTCTGAGAATATGAATTGGTAGCTGTTGACTGTTAAGATACAATAATAATTCTTATTGAATATTTATACAGTACATTGTATTGCAAATAAGCACACTCATCGCCTTCTCACACAAGATCGTGATTGAATATAAAATTGAATGGCAACAATTGAACAATTTTTCCTACATTCTCATAAAAAAATCTAAAATATGTGTGCTATGTGCTTAACTTTGAATAGCTCCATAACCTGTCGAGATTTATGAACCTCTCTTTAAAAATGGTGAAAAAGTCATTGTTGGTTGGCGCTCTGAAAATAATAATTGTAATGTCGCAATTTAATATAATAAATTCTTGTTATTGTTGCTGTTAAAATAAGACTAACCTACCAGATTCCCACAGATAGAGGCAATGCTACTTTTTCTATATACATATTTATAAGTTCATGTTTAATTTTATAATTGGCAATAAGCATGAAATAAAGTGAATTTGATCTACTCGATCATGTAGGCATGTTATTGACTGCTTTTTATGAACATTTTCTATTGATAATAAATCAAATTCTCTGTCGAACACCTATTTCTGTATCTACTTATTAATTGGGATATGTAGCTTGTGCTTAATGACATATCTATCTATATTGCAAATCATGCTGTTTTTAGTAGTCAAAAATTTCACATTATTAATTTTTTGCAATTCATATTTATTGATGTAAGAAGGCAAAGGGCATTTTATTGGTAGTTGACATGAGAATTATTGTTACATGATTGTTTTTCTCATATTGAATTTAAATTGCTTGGGTAGCTTAGTGATCAAGTATCAAAATATGATTACTGTTGCATAAATAATGCGGGTCATAGGTTCGAAACTTGACATGGTGACTTGCTGTATTTTTGTAAATCATAAGGATTTGAAATTAAGTTTCAACTTTGTGGTACTTTAAAACTATTGAACAGAATATAAAAAGTTTGTTTTTAATGTACGTAACTTGCAAAGAATTCCTTCGTAGCTACATGATCGAAAACATTCATAAACAACAATTTCCCTAGTCGCTCTAAAAAGATTTCACAGAAGTCTCAAATGGCAATAAAAATCTAGATCATCGAATGCTTGCAAGAAAAAAAAAATTTATGCAAAAATGTGCAACTTGTCACATGAGACCTTTCTGCTGTATTTGAAAAAGTATTTGTTTGCAAAAATGCTTAAATATTGTAACTGTAATGTGATACTATTGTATGTTTGTGAAAATAGATAGTAAAAGTCGTTCTACTATTAAACGCATTATAACTGCGCATTCTATCGTAAAGCATGAATTTCTATAAATTCCTTTTGTTAAAACTCATTGGCTTGTTGCTAAGGTTCTTATGATAAAGCTGTTTATAAGCACCAAGGCATTTGATTTGCAATCTTTCTGATTTAATCACCAAAATATCAATTTACTCATAATTTTCTTATCTTATCATCTTTTCAGATCTACAACTAGCCGCTGAATTGGGAAAGACTTTATTGGAGAGAAACAAAGAGCTTGAGAATTTATTGAGGGCACACCAGCGAAAATGTGAAGATCAAAAGCAGGAAATAGAGGTCAGTTATCATTATTCGGTCAATAGAGCTTCTACCAATAATTAACTTTACGGCTCTTCTCTATGAACGTATCTTCTAAATTCGATACAAATTTTTAATGGATTTAGACTTTAAAGCCTTCTTTTGTGAATGCTGTAAGCATGTTATTTATGCTTTAAATGAAAGAATTCGCAAAAGATGAATAAGATGAAAAAGTAATTTCGTGATTCATTGGCTGCTTCCATTGCGAACGAGGTGGAATTAAAGGCTAGAAATTATTTACAGTCCAAGGTGTGCCAATAGACTGATTTACTGTTATGTTTTATCAATCTTCTTCAATTACTTTTTGTGTTTATTTTATCAATTTTCTTCTGTACAAGAATCTATGACTTGATGACAGCTTGTCAGTCAAATATTGCACAGTTGATTGGCACATTCTGATGAATTTGTTAAATGTCCCAAAGCTCCTCAATATTTCAAGCTGTCATAATTGTATGTTGTCTAGTAAATACGTTCATAATGAAACACTTAAATAATGTTAAGGTCAAATAGCTTTGATAACTTGAAATTTAATAATAAGTTACAACGTGCTCATCTTTTTTTCTGTATTCATTAGTTTCTGACGAAGCAAAATCTCGCGCTTAAGGAAGTGAATGATACTCGAATGCAGATTTACGAATCGCTAGATATAAGCATTCATGATCTTGAACGTGAAAAACACCAGCTGATTATCGAGAATTCATTCAACAAGAAACATATAAAAGAGTAAGTTATTTTTATATCCAACAGGTCTAATTAAAGTTCTTTTGTATATTTATGATAATTAATTGATCCACAGATTGAATGAGACGGTTGAAAAGCTTGAACAGAAGTGTGAGGAAGCGACGAAACAATTTGAGGATGTGAGACACATTTTGGAGCAAGAACGACGTAAGATTGAGAGAGTTCAGGAAGGTAGTAGCAGTAATAATAGCAGCAGCAGCAACATCAACAATACTAGCATCCATAATGATACAAATGAGTCTGTAATTAAAGCCACAATAGTCAATAAAGAATCTACAATGCGCCATATAGGAAGTGCCAGTGAGCCAGAAAGTGATGAGGTATGATATCAATGATTATTAAAAGTTATTAAATGACCCTCAAAATTAATTCCGTAATAAATCATTATTTATTTCTTATTAACTCAAAAAACAGGCTTCCACACCAACAAATCCATCGAAATCGTTCACAAGTGGACAAATGTCGATTACACAGACACCTTTTATGAATTATTCTCAAGACTTTTCGAGTATTCAGCCAATCTATTCGCAAGACAGCGAATCACATGATAGTGGATTTAAAACAGGTAGTAGCAGTAGCAATTGTGCTGATCATGAGGAACTTCTACGTGTACTAACGGAATTAGAAGATTCAAAGCAGCAAGCGCACAGTGCACAAATGACAATATCTGAATTAGAGCAGCAATTATCAGTATTGAGTCATGAGAACTCAGTTTTACAAAACCGAATCGTGCAATCAAATACATTAGATGAGATGAAGTCAGTTCATGAGGAGCTTTCATTCTTGGAAGAAGTTCGACAAGGACAAATGTGTACGAGATGTCTGAAAAGCTATGATGATCGCATGACAGATAATACATCATATATTGGAACCGAAGGAGATGACGAAGATCGTAGTTTAATGGAATTGCTCAATGAAACAAATACGCATTCATTGCCACTTGTCTATCAGTCGGCTGTTACAATTAAGGTAAATAGCATTTTATCAAATTTCTTGGGATTCATTCCATTCGGAGAATCATTTATTTAAAGTAGAAAATAATCATTAAATAGAATATTGAATTGTAGAAATTTTGTGTAGTTAGTGTTCCTACTTCCCTTCCCCGCTGATCACAGATTTTTCAAAATTTCTTCTTTCTACCGCGTTTCAATCAAAAACTATTTAAATTTGACCTGGTTTTTTGAAGAGTCTTGATTAAATTCCTCATTCATTATAGATCCATCGCATGGTTGGTTCTTATTATTATCATTATTTCTTTAAATTAGCGCATTTTTGCACAATGAAATAGATTTTCTTCATTTTATCTGGAATGATAGTTTTACATTTAGGATGGGGAAATAGACAATACACTTAAAGACTTAAAGAATTGCTACAATTCATTAAAAAAATGATTCATTTAGTGTCTGGGTGATTGTCAAATTTATTATTTTTGCTAAACATTATTATTTTTTAATTGCTGGTTAAGGCTCAAAGCTGGTTCTTTCTGTAAAAAAAACATTGTAGAATTTTGGACCGTTATTTTGAATTTGAATATTTTTTTAAATCTTACAAAACCGTTAAATTTTGTAATAAAAATTTAAAAAAAGCATAAGATTTAAATTTCTATGGACCGTTACGATTAATAATTGCTGATTGTGGCAAAAATGCGCTCATCCATCAAACATTGTACATAATTTGTGTAGCTATCATAGTTCCTTCAACTTCATTTATTATTTTCACGCACTTAATTTTCCTTTTCCGCTTTAAATTGAAAATTTCAGATGTTTTTTTGTCTTCAAGCACGCTACATGTTCAAACTAATCGTCAAAGTAGTGCGAAAGGGTCCGAGAAAATTTTGCTCGCCTTTCCATCCATCAAACATTATCTAATAATCAACACATAACTAACATTGCACTTTTTCATTTATTTTTTTATTTTCATATATATACCATTTGTATATTGCCATTTTGCACATATTATATCCATCATGCACACATTCATAAGTTTGATTATGATATGGACATTTGAGACAAAGAATCCTGCTTGATGGGAATGACTTGACACATGACAAATTCAATGACTTTAAAGCATGAACAATGATAAAATTTATCAATTAATGTTTTTGAATTTGACCATAAAATCTTGCAGATTCTATTCTTAATTAATTTATGTTTATTTTCTATAAAACCTTTTTGTGTGTGAATTATGTTTATTTTTTCTTGCTCATTATCTGTGTTATCCTTAATTAAATTAACTGTTTACACACGAAATTTATATATTTTTTTTTACAAAAATCTTGTTGGAATCTTTTTAAAAGTTTAATAAATGTATAAGTTAAATAAAGCTTTTTTTTTTGTTTTTAATAAACGCAATTATTTTTTTCTCACAAAAATTTGCTTAAAAATAGGTGCGAAAATTCGTTTATTGTTGCTATTAAATTAGTATATAATGGAACGACATCAACGTTTTCTCGCACCTAGTGCTTATATTGCATATATTTAATTAGTTTATGATTCTATTAAATTGAAATGAAATGTTTGAGGTTGATTATTATTTATTTGAGAACTTTCGGGGTTGTTCAGCTATGATTTTGAAGTCAGAAGTTTTTAAATTTTAATCAAAATCACTTCTGAACGACCCCCAACAAGATTTATTGCATCTGACCCAGTTTGTGTGATAATTTTTATATACATGAGCACTTTTAATCACTTAATAGGAAGAGATAAATTATCTCAACCTTGTTGATTAAGAATCAGTGCACAGCAAGTCTCCTTGACACATTTTAAAGCCACAAAACATTTCATTTCAATACTTTTTGTTTATCTTTTACTTTGCATGGTGTGAGTCTCTCTATCTGCTTCCTTTTCCTATGCTTATTAATCTCATAAAGAATTTTTTTTGGCCAAGAACTTTTCAAAATTATGGTGATGGAACTCCATTCGCTTTTGCTGCACAGCTTCTTTGCTGTTGAAGTTATTTGATAATTGGGAAGTTATTTGATAACAATCTGGGAATGGACATTGATTCACTGGAAATCATATGAACTTGAATTTTGGAACAACTAGATTGAAATGAAGGTTTTTGTTAAGAACCTTTAATTTTATCAAATGATCAAGAAATAGAACAACTATAATTTTTTGAAATCTCTGAAAAAATAACGGTTTTTTGAAATTTAAAATTTATGAAAAACATGAATATTAGCTTTTTTGGACTCTTTAAACGACTAGTAGACTAGTCAAAACTGAAAGAATTGAAATTTAAAAACTATTAACACAAGCTCCTGGCAGGAGCTTTAAAAAATTGCCAAAAATGTCAACATGCTGTTTCTTCACTATGAAACAATTATCTGAATAACTTCAACTTCTGTAAAACTTAACGGAACCCAAAAGTTCACATTGCAAACAATTTGTGTATCTCTAAGACTGTTTACCCACTTAACAGCCTCCAATCACTAGTTTCTTGTTATTCTGCGTGTTATTTTCTGTAATAAATTTTGCTACATTTACAAAAATTAATTTTATTTTCGTTCAGAGAAATCAATTTGGGACATTGAGAAAAAAAAAAATACTTTTCATTTAACTTCCTTCACAAATAAAATAAAAACACACTCATCATATTCAAAAAACAAGCTTATCCATTCATTCATTATTACTTTAATTTTTTTTATCGCGTTTCTCTGATCTTCTCAATCAACTATCCGGTACATATATGCTTTCGTATTTGACTGCTTTTTGAGATTGACAATGCCTTTCTGTGTTCATCATTGTGGACTCAACAAATGCAAGAGCGTCTGAAAGAAGATTTATTATAATTTTCAGCACAACATGAATTCATATATGCCTTTCCGTTTTTCTGTTTGATGACTTTTTTTTCGCACTCATCTTCATTTATGAGAAGTCTTTGTAGGTTGTTGAGTAAAGCGCATTTTTGATGAATAAAAAATATTTTTAAAACTTAACGGTTATGAATAATTCAAAATTTAACGGTTTTGTAGAAGTTGAATTTGTTGCTTAAATTTTTGATCGTAGATTAATTTGAACCCTTTTTAAATCGTAGGATTAAATTCAGAAGATTAGCTTTAATCCAAGGATTAACTTTCACAAGTCTAAACTTTACAACTATAAAATTAAATCAAACACCAAACTATTTAACACTTCTGTCAAAATGCCTAAGAATGTGCAGCAAAAGTGCGCTAAAGAAAATTTACATTTCTCACATTTTCTTCAAAATAACTTGAGTATTTCTTGAGAACTTGCTTCTTTCTGTTACATGCTTAACTTTTTTTTATATATTTTTTAATAAAAATACTTCTTTTAATAGTTTTCTTCTTTGAGCATAGCAACAAAATTAATAATGTTTGACACATTTCTCCTTCACAACCTTCTTCAAGCTGTTTAGCTGTTGTGTGTTTTTTATAATTTTTATTTTTATTTTTTTTATTTTTTTTCTCATTTAGGCATGTCCCATTTGCACCTATTCACGCAATTTACAATTGGCAAAAAAGCTGCATGAGCTTCCATTGAACTTGTCAATATTCTCCATTTTTACATTCGAGTTGTGGCTTCACATTGAAAAGTTGTCATATTTACGATGGATTATAAAGTTATTACAATGGCCTGCAGTTCTAATTTGTCGACTTATAAATTTAGATAACTTAAATTATGACAATATTCGATTTATGTAGCAATATGCATGCTATGAAATGTATATCACGTGGTTGTGTTATAGATGCAAATAATTTTTATTTGTGCTTCTTAAAGTTTAAAAAGACTGAATGAATTTAATTCCTGAAGAATGAATTATAAAGCACAAAGTAAATGTTGTGTATCATTGATAGTATTTTTTTTATTGTTCCAAAGACCTAGTTATTGATACTATGTGGTCTTAATTCTATTATTCTCATTGCCCATTGTTCAAGGCATGATTGAGACAATAGATGACAATTTTGTGATGTGCCAAATGAAAACAAATTTCACTTGGAAAGATGACTTTTTCTTCCATTTGATTGTTCCATAGATCTTTAGAAATTTTTTTTACAATAACTGATAATTGCTTGAAATTTGCATTCATCCTTGAAACATATCCTAACATACCTCTTAGTTTGCAAGATATTTTAATGTTCCTTAATTTGTATGAAAATTACCATTAAATTTTCAAGAATTCACTTACATTCTCAACCATATTTTGGAGAGCATTTAAACATCAGTTACTTAAATTATTCTATAGTAAAGCATCAGCAAAGTTTTTGTACTCAAAATAATCAGCATGTATCTTGCAGAAATTAATAAAATTCTAAGTTAGATCAAGGAGAAGAATGCGCCTTAAAAATTGCCGTACCTTAATTAATGTAGTGATATATTTAATTAAATTATTATGTAAATATAGTAACACCAAAAAAAACTAGAGAAAATTGGAAGTAGCATCGTAAAAACTTGAAAAATGGGAAAACTTTATTAATAAATTAATGATCAATTGGTAAAGCTTTAGTTGATATATACTTAATATTAATAATAACGATTTTTTGGGGTACAATTGAGACTTAATACGCTCAATTTTTTAATATTATTATTTTATTATGTTACGTTAATAATCTTCTCGAGTAATAATAATAAAATGAAAGTGTTTCTCTAAACATTTTTTAAATAATTTTTTTTTGTATTTTTATAAAAATTGAAATATTAGTTTTTGAAGCTTTCCACTTATTTAGCGAAAATTCACATACCTTTATAAAAAAAATCCAACATCAATTTTCAAATCCAATTTAATCTGACGCTCAATTATTGTTATACAATGAATTTTTAGGATGATGAAGACAAGTCATTGATCAGTACAGAAGGTAATGATATAAGTGAAGATTCCAAGACGGTACAATACAATCCGTATAAAGAGCTTGTGGCGAAATATGAAGCACTTTTGGAGATTCAACGAAATCCACGAACAAAAGAACCACAAGTACAGCAGCCACAACCGCAAAGTTTACAAGATGAATTAAATTCGACAGATTTTAGTTCATTGAACACGAAATATACATCAGAAGATGAGAAGAAATTAGGAATGCGCCATCCTGATTTCTCAGAAGTTGAGACATCAAGTTCAGGCTTTTCGGATGAAATTCCATCTACAAAAGCAACGCAGACTGACAACAGTTCATTCCTCTTCACAATTGTGGATGGAGAAGATTGTAAATTCAGTATTTATGATGAAGCCGCATCAGCACCGATTGAGTCGAGATTCCGAGAACGTCCAAAATACCGTGAATTATTTAAAGAAATTTTCACGGTTCTCAAGAAGGCAGCTGAAAATAAAGAAGAGGGTGAAAGTTTACCATTATTAGACGATAACGAGAAAGTCGTAAATGCAGAAGTCAGTAAAGTACCACCAGTCACACCAGCTAATGAAAATATACCGCCATGCAAAGATTTTGACATGCAGAGCATTATCTCGTCAGCTATTTCTGAAAATTCCATTGCAGTATCCGAATGCATTACGAAAACTGAACGTAAAAAGGCAAAATCGTATAAGAAACAAGCAGCAAAAGAGGAAATTGAAAATAAACCTCCAGCATCGGCTGTTCAAGTTATAGGCGGTAAACTCGTTACACCTTACAACCGAATCGCTCTTGATTTTGCCGCAATTAATGCGAAGAAACGTGCACGTCGTAGTCGTCAGCGTAGTAAAGACAAATATGGAACTTCTGGTCGAGATTCGAGTGCTTGTAGTGCAGCTTCAGAAACGTCAACATCTAGTGCAACTCAGAGATTTGTTGAAAAGAAAGAGAAGGAGGTAAATACCACAGCAGCAACGATTGAAAAAGCACCATTAACACCTACAAAAATGAGAAAAATTCGACGCCCACGCGAATTGCTTCAGCTTACAACACTGTCAACGTTAAATGCTGGCGAATGGAATGGCGATTCTATAACAATTTATAATAAAAATAGCAACAAAGCTAATAATCCATCGGAATTTTACTGTCGTCCGACAACAATTGGCACCGAGCAAATTCAATTCAAGGCCAGTGCTGCATCTCATGAACTGAGAAAATTGAAAAAATTAGATCTTTCTTATGCTGAAGTTCTCAAACAATCTGCAGCAGCTCGTCTACGTGCTGCACAGAAGCATAAATAAGTTGTTTTCCGAACAGCCTTCTTTAAAGTATTTAATTTAATTATTTTTTTTCTTGATTAATTTCTTCTTCCTAGAAATTTCTATGTCAATTCCTCTTTTTAATTTAATTTAATTAATTTTGTTATGTTGATTATGTTTTTTAAGTACCTAAGTTCTTTCTTAAGGAATGAAAAGTACGTAAAGTAATGATGACCGTAAATTGTAATGTATTTTTATAAGAAATAAACATTTTTCCTCCTTCAGACAGAATTTGGCCATTAATTAAAGAGAAAAAAAAATATTGTTTTTATTCAATCATGTGATCTACATTTATTTCGTTCCTCAAAATATAGATTTATCTATCAACATTCAATTTCTTTCTTCTTTCATCAAATTCCTTAAAATTAAAATTGTTTTTTTAAGGTAAGTATTTCTTATTCTAGAGACAAAAAAAATATTTTGAATTATAAAACATACTCAGAGCTGCATGACTAGTATGATCTGAAATGATTATGATCTAAAAACTGAATTTACTAATTTACAGTATACTGATTTATTCTAATCAATTTCGGAATGCTACAAAATAATAATAATAAAGTTTGTGGTCGATCAACTTTGAAGGAAGATTGAATGTAAACCTTAGGATTAAGTTTTTAATCCTGAGATTTAAATTATAATCTTGGGTTTTATTTTTTAAACCCCGACTCAAAGCTGACCTACCTTAAATACTTCTAACCTTTCCTCTCTCCAAATAATGAAATTACAATTTTACTACCCCCAAAATAAAGGATCTAGACATCATATTAGTCTAAAAAGATCAATTTCTCCCATAAATTTCCTTTGAACTTCCAAAAAAAGTTTGTAGATCCTAATCATACACACCAAACTACAATAAAATATACACAGGTAATTCGATTAAGTTTAGTAAATTGTTTTAAAAATTTCTCAAGAGTCATCACAACAATAGACAGAAGCATCCCAAGAAAAATTGCGTTTAAAATCTGCAAATTTTGTTTTTAAGGTAAATTTTTTAATATCTTGGCTTTAAATTTTCTCATTCGAATTGGCATTTAAGAAAATGCGTGCACACACATTAATTGTTTTTAAGGTATGCTTTCTCAAGAAATCATTATCTTTCAAATTTTTTATTTATGACTACAAGGTTTTCGTTTTGATAAGAACTGAGAAAAAGCTTTAAACCATCCCAAAAATCACCAGTATCCTCTCTTTATCTGCTGTAAGTCTCTAATAGGGTTTTCAGAACTGATATTAAAATGTATTCAACACCTGTGCTGGACACAATTTTTTATGGACTCACTTATCTTCAGTAAATAACTTTCATTCTCATTAATTCAGTGAATTACAGCAGGAAAATTGAGTTGATAAAAGTAAAACATCATAACTATTTAAAAATCACAAATACTAAGCACAATATATAATATTCATCTGTTCTTTCATTTTGTGTTAATCCAATTTACAACAGTCATTCACAAATGACATCCAACTGAGCCATTGCCGCAAAATATTCATACAAAAAATGTCTAATTAATGTTACATCTGTAAATGACTCTCACTCCTTATTTTAAATGCAAATACTCAAAAATGGAAATTTTTTAACCAATTTATCAGTAATGAATAATAAAAAAAATTATCCTAAATTAAAGAAATGCTTTGGACATGCTTACTTAATAAGTTAATAAGAAAAGAGGTTTTTGTTCTTTAGTTTCGGTTATTTGAACGATCATAAAACAGCATATATGCAGGTGCACTTAAAACTTCTTCTATCGACACTTCCTTCACAAGATGATCAGATGTTAGATACCATTTATGATAACTTCTAAGTGAACCGCGTCTATAAGTGATAAAATGTCCGCCATTTGCAGCATCTCCGGCATGAACAACAACAGCTAATAGTCTATAAAGGTTTCGAGGGAATCCACCTAATGTTGAGAATGGTGAACCAAATTGAACATTCTCATTTGTTGGTGTCATATTTGCTAGAGATGCACTATATAAACTCATTGTACTTCCCCAAGGAGTTGAGCACTGACCTGTAACGAAAGGAAGTCATAAGAATCTTCTTGATACAACTCACGTCATGATTTACTCACTTAAAGAAGGTTGTATGAAGGAGTATGGAGCCATTGAAAGACTTTCAGGGAAATGAATAAAATCGTTGCGCTTTGTTGCATATCCATTAGACCAGCTGGTTCGTGAAATATGGATTGCCTTTAATTAAAAGAATTTTTAATGAGGAATAATGCAACAAAAATCAAATGTCAATTTAAAAATCACTTACTAAGCACGGTGGGAGTTTTGTAAAAGTTATAGTCTTGTTATGATTTGAAATCAGATTGCACGATTCACATTCAACATCGTTTAGAGTTTCTGGAGAGACATAATCGCTTAACAATTGTCCCAAACTTAATAATGACTGACATCTCGTTTCAGGTAAATTAAGAGTAACAGATTCAAACTTATCTACGCGAACAACACTTTTGTAGCCACAAGATGAACACATCAATTGTGAACTTATACTTCCTTTAAATGGAATTGCAATTTGTTTAGTAACTTTTTCATTCCAGACTGACACACGTCCAGGACCACGTGAGAGCCTATCCAATGATCTATATGATCCACAATTGCGCTTAAATGCATCACCATTTGAACTATTTCGAGGACGACCTGTGGTAGATGAAATAATTGATGGTGGAGAGTCTTGAATCGATTTGTCTTTTTCATCATCATCAATCATTGAATGATCAAAAGATTCATTTTCATCGACTGTAGATTGATTTGATTCAGGGGTTTGTGCTTCACTTCTAACTAATCTTAATAAGCTGGATGACTCATTATATGTATCTTTGTCAAATTCTGTTAACATTGCTGAACTAGGTCTGGCAGGTAATGATTGCTGAATAGCTTTAATATCACCCAATGCGTCTGACAAGCACCCAATTTTCTTTGGTTTCATTGCCTCTTCCTCTAACGAAGTCAAAATGACATGAAACAGCTCATGAGGATCGTGTTCCTGCTCAGGAATGACCTAAAAAGATTTGAAAGTACAAAAATTGAGAACTCGTATGATTAAAGTGCAAGTAAATAACAGCATACCCATCCAAGACTATTTAAAGCTCTAATAACGGCAGCTGGATTTGTTGGATCACATCTGATAGTTGGATGAGTTCCATTTACACAATCAAGAATAGTTTGAAGAGATGAAATTAATGATTTTTTATCTAACGAATCATGCAATTGAAGCCATGTCATAAACTGTGGACTTGCTGCAAACGCTTGAAGAAGAGTATTCAAAAAGCAAGTGTTCCCAAAATTAATCAAGCCTGAAATTTGTCCTCGTCGTTGTCTGCAATCAAGAAATTGTGTGAAAAAGTAGGGAAATTTTCATAATACAGGAAAAATCGATAATTTTAAAATCTCGATTGGGAATTACCTTAGCTTTGATTTTTTGTTATCTGGCCAGAAAACAAATGATCCAATACCTACTAATGCTGCACCAGCAATGACACCTTATTTTTGAAGCAATTAATAACATTAAATTGATGAAAAAAAATCAACTATTTTGTATTTTCAAAAATCTCGCTTTTATCTTAGTTATTTCAGCTCCACTTGATATCCAGAACTTACCCATCAATAGTTTCTCAGATTCCATACTGAAATGTCTGCGACAAAACTTAATTAAAGCACTTTTTTAATTCTTTTTCTATTTCTGTTTTTTCATTGCAAAATAATCATAGTTTTTATTCCCTTTTTATTTCAAATTTTCAACAACCGTTAAATGCTCGAAACATAAATTTACCAAGGAATGACTTTAATGTGCTTTACTTTATCAATATAACTGTTTCTTGTCTCCTCATCAAGCTCTCGATGCTGTACTTTATAATGCTTAACAAAGTAATCCTTTCGTCCAAACAATTGTTGACATCCATCGACTTCGCATTGTACTCTTATATCATTATGTTGTCGACTAACATGCCGATTAAGGTGCTTAATGGTCGGAAAATTCAATTGACATTGACTGCATGGAACTGTAGCATCGTTTTTTGTGTGATGGAATTTAATGTGATTTAAAAGAGAGGTTTTAAATTGAAAGACTTTATCGCAATTTTCATAGTAGCAGTGCTGCTTTTCATCGTGGATCTGCATATGCCTCTTAATTTGAATGCCTTTTGGAAATTGTTTTCCACAAATCTCACAACTCTCTAAAATTTTTGCTGTGTGGCACTGCTTAATATGCTTTTGGAGATACTGTTTGGTCGTAAAGTGCTTTTCACAATAATCACAAGGAAATTTTCCAGTGTCATGGACACTCTTCCTATGCTGTAATAATTTTGTCCTAGTCGTAAAGTGCTTATCACAATTTGAGTAGTCACATGGATGTATTTCAATGACGTCCGAGTGAAACGTCTTAAGATGATTTGTAAGTGCTGTCTTTGATAAAACAGCAGTATCACAAAAAGAACATGAAAACTTTTCTCGACTGGCCTTACTTAAGTGCTTCCTCATATGCATTAATAAGTCATTCTTTATATTACTATTCTTTCCACAAATATCGCAATAGTACTGTTTTCCAATGAAATGAACTCTTCTCATATGGTTATAATATCCACTCATGCCAGAAAATGACATTCCACAAATATAACAATCTTTTCCTTGATGATTCTTCGGTTGCTGGATCTCATTTTCATAGAACGATACTGCTTCACTTTTTATAATTTCGTCATCTGAAGTCTCAATTATACATTCAATCTTTTCCAATTCATAATTATCAACTATTTCCACAACTTCAGGCTTACTTTCATCATTAACATCGACTAGTACTTCCATATATCCATCTCTAACATCCAGTAAAGTGTTTTGTGACTCGATTAATTCGTTTTTAAAGGCAACAAAATCATTTATCTTGTTGCTACAATAATCACAGACAATATCTGAATAGACTTCAGAATCATTAGTTAATTCCATGCCTAGAATATTAATTTTATTGAATTGTTCATGAATTTTTATTCTGCAATTTTACCAGTAATCTCAAAAAAGCTATTCCTAAGCGTCTCATCAATGGCAACTGCAACTTCATCAGTATTAAATCCTCTCAAGCAGCATCTGCAACAATTTGCAAGGTCCAATAATGCCTCGTTCATGCTTAATTCACTTATTTATGCGACTTGTAATTCTTGTGTAAGAAGTAAACAAAAACTTCTTGTTGTGAAATAAATTCAAAATAATTTTAACCGGTATAATTAGCTTGTTCATAAATATTAATTTTATTAATTAAAGCAAATTAATTTAACAACAGATATCACATAAAAGAAAAGAATAATAAATATATTAAAATCAGTTTACATTGCATCAAAATGAAATCTTTGAGCCTCTTGCAATTTCTCTAGCTTGTCTTCTCGTCGTTCCTTCATATGCAGTCCAATAATGATGAATGAGATGACTACTATTATTCCTGTAAATTGATACTCTTATTAATGATAATTCATTTTAAGGGATTTTATGTGGACTTACCAAGTAAGGCAATGACTGATTGAATAATAATTTTACTAGGAGTCACAAACAGCTGTGCTTTCCATGTATAAGTTTGATCCGGATCTCTTGGAATCACGAGCATTTGTGAGTTTGGAATTATTTGAGGCCATGTCTGAAATAAATCAAGTCTTGAGTCAATAAAATGTCATTGAATAAATATCTGATAAGTTACCTTCTTTTTGCCTGCAAACATGATTTCTACATTATCTACGAAATTTGGTGTGCGTCCTAGACCAAAAATTTGATATGGTAAATGAAGCGAAAAGTATGCTGATTGTGATAATTGAGTAGCTACTCCGTGTTGTGCCAGACCTTCTTGTGTAGTTGTATGATATTTTATTTTAGGTCCTGGTAAGTTTGATCCGTAGCACTTAGACTTTGATCCAAACGGTGAGTTCTCCTTTGGTGGCTTTTTAGCATTTTCTAGTCCAGTAAGAACAATGACTTTAACGAAATTTGCATCATAATCGAGAGTATTTCGAAAAGCTAATGGTTTATATTTATCACCATTCTTTTGAAGCATAATTACGTCAAGTATACCATCTTGATAAAAATCATAGAAACTTGCCATGACTGTATCTTGTCCAAAAGGTGATAATGCATTCCAACGAACAGCAAATGTTCTTCGTACTCTATCAGTATCATGAAGATTAGATCTTTTGATATTCTCTAATAAGAATGTCTGAATCATTGGTTCACTTTGTCCCTTCCTTTGCAATGTTGCTAATAAATCAATATAGCCATCATTGTTAAAATCACCCATTCGCAATGTCATTGCTCTTTCATAAAATTTCCCATCTTCTTTTGGCGACAAGAATCCCCATTGTGTCTTATTGTCGTCTTGAAAGAAATTTATTTCCAATTCCTTATAATGATTTTCTGTATGCACATAAATTCTAGACTCTTTACAATCTGCATCAAGACAAACTGGAATAAGTTGGGTCATATTTCCATTTAATTCTAAATCAATGTATAAAGCTTGTCCGAAATGTGCAGTCGATCCTGTTGGAAATAACAATTCTTCTTCATAATGATACTTTTTAGTATACTTATCAGCTATCCAAAGCTCAAAACCTTTTTCAGTTGATAAGCTCAAATCAGCTAGAAAATCTTCATTCAGATCAATTGTAGCATGAGAATGTGGATTAGTCAGCTTGCCTAATTTCTTGTCTCCAATAATTTTAGTGTCAAGATCCTCAATGTTTGGTGGACTTCTGGTCTTGTTGAAAATCCATAAGCTTCTTTTTTCAATTCCATCATCCATCCGTAAACCAAATAAATCAATAATCATGTCATTCTCATAATCCAGCGCTAAAGGTTCTCCGATCATTGATGAAATCACTGGAGCACTATTATTTGTCGTAGTACAATTTAAGTAAGTCAATCCACCATAATTGATATAGACATCAACCTCCTTCTTATTTTTACGAGCTGTAAACATGACATCCATTAAAGCATCTCCATCGAAATCACCTGGAACTACTGATGTAATGTCTAAATTAGGATAATGACATTTAAAGTTCTTTTCATCTCGTCTTAGCAAAGGCGGTGTATCTGATGCCAATAAAATTTCAATTGTATGGAAATTATCTCGAATAATAAATACGTCCGTTAGCTCATCGGAATTGAAATCGCCATAAGCACTGATTATTCCATCATTAATGTTTGAAAAGACTAAATCAGAAATGTCTGTGGCGTAGATTAATTTCACTAAGCATACGTGGAATATTACAGCAAATATCTTGCTATTCATCACCACTATCGATTATTAAAGTATATCACTAGAAATCACAATTCTTAAGCTATAAACTTATGTGTAAATCATCTAATTTAAGATCCAGTTTTCTGTAATATTATTAAAAAAATTATTTTTTGTTCCTTTCTTTTGTTGTTTTTAAAATTATGAAATTTCCTTTTACGAAGGTCACTCATGAATGTCTTTTGTTCATGTTTATCACAATTGTTTCAATATTTTTGTTGCATTCATAAGTTCCTTATGCTTCAAACTATCTTTACTGGATGTTATTTTTATAGATCATTTGTTAATTTTGATGAATTTCCTTTTGAAGAGTATTGTTTGTAGAGATCTATGCATTGTGTGCATTTCCACTGGATCATTTTAGTACAATCATCATGATATACTTAGTGTTGTGCCTTAATTCTTGCTTTGTCTGTGCTTCTGTAACATTTTTGTTGTCACTGGATCTTTTCATAATTTATTTCATTGATTTCCTTATTTTCTTATCACTGTTCATTACTTTACACACTTATTAATGCCATAAGTCACAATATAGACTATAATGACTTATTTAAAGCAATAAATTTTATTGTTTTCTGAATCCAAACATGCTGAATTGAGTATGTCATGATAATGCGCTTTTGTCATAAAAGTATTTAAAATCAAGTGCACTTGTTTACTCTCAGTCGAAATAATTTTTTCATAAGCATTTTAGTATTTAGAGAGCTTCTGTAATATCAAGAAGGTACATAAAGTTGTTTCGTGGAAGATATTTAAAGAAATTAATGAAATCCAGTGTTTTTCTTGTATTTTAATGTGTAAATTAATGATTTTTTGTAAGTCAATCAAATTTGACGCAAAATTTTCATGTTCTAGTGTATTAATAATACGCAAATATACTTAAATTTAAAGGCTTTAAGGAACGCAAGCTAGTGAAAAATTAAGAGAGAGATACCGCGCCCTGTATAATTAATTTGTTAAGCATTTATTTCTCATTGAAATTTTCATAAAAATTTGCTTCTCAAAAAATAAGAAATTTACACATTAAAACGAGAAAATTGATATCTGGGAAATTTTGTGCATTTTCTATCTGTTCTGTGAAAAACGAAGAAGAAAAATATTTTCCAATATTAATAATAATAAGAAGAAGGAACGAAAAAGAAGATAGTGTGCGCGAATCGAAAAAAAAATTTTTCTTTTTATTTTTAGCTTTTGTTGTTGTGAGTTGCTTGAAGGAAGGAATATGAAGAAGTAGAAATAAGTAATAGAACCCGACGAAATTTAGTGATAAAATAAAATTGGCAAAACGCTAAAGACATAAAAAACAAATCATTTTTTGGATTAGTTTATTTTTCAAACAGGTGAGTCAGACATAAACTCTCATTGTGGAACGGGTGTATACCCAAAAACATTTTATTTTACTTGCTGTGTTTTCAACAAACAAGCGTTCTAGATGCTTTAATAATTGTTTTATTTTTTTAACGGAAATTTAAAATTCAAATTCAGTAATAACTTATTCACCTCAATTGTCCAAACTCACCATTTTAAATAATGAAACGTGGGCAGTAATTTAGTCAAAAGCTTAAACTCATTAAGCAATCGTTCTGTATGCCATAGAATAAGTGATCAAATGACAATTATTGGATGATTCAAAATGAATCATGCATAAATTAGACATAAATCAAGTCAAGTGCAAAGCTTAATTTGGTGATTCAAGAGGTGACACACATTCTATATGCTACAATTAATAAAATAGCTAGTGACTTATGCGAAAAATGATCCAACGAGGTCAGATATTACTTAAGTTTGTATATTTGCAATATGTATATAAATTGAATCGTCTATAAATATACCAAATGAGACGTATGATCTCATTGCTGGTGATTCTTGAATACACATATGAACGTGTGAAGAAGTGGAAAAGAAACAAAAAAAATATATTCTCGCGTATCTCGTCGTTAAAGTTTGCATCACAAAATCTCTTCCTTTTCAACATATTCAAATGACAATTGGTAGCTATAAGATTAATCTACAGTTGAATTAAATTTGCCATATTATGTCACGAATTGAAAGAATGTACAATAATATTCATGAATCAGCTACGTATTGCCTTGACTATTTTTGTCATTTGCTATTACTATTATTATTTTATTTATTTCGGTAACCGTTAGACTTTCCGAATTTATTCATAAGAACTTTTATGCCGCTTACATCATCCGGTAAATAAATATTGGAGAACTTTTCTTCATTTTAATTACAGTTTCGTGATTCCACAAGCTACTAATCACAAAGTAGCTATATAAGTAAAATTTCTTGTGAGATTCTCAATGTGTAGTCAAAAGAAATGAAATGAAAAAAAAAATAGTGTTATTCTGAAGGTCAGTCAGTGGAAGAGAGCAAGAAAAACAAATTTAACGTTTAAAGACTTTTCATTCATTCGTCATTTACTACCACAGTTAGCACATCTTAATTCTGTTTTGCCTCCTCTGTATTTATGACTCTCTCGTGTGTGTCAGTTTAAATGAATTAATTAAGAAAAATTAATTTTTTTTGTAATTGAGAATCTTGAATGGCTTCCAAAGAATGCAGACATGTGCATATTGTCGGAAGTCGGTCGTAAAACGAATTGAAGAATTTATTTCAAACTTATAAGATATTAAGGAATAAAAAAAAGTCCTTTGTTCAACATTGAATGTGTTACTCTTTTTCTTGAGTGGCAATGGATGGAAAAACTAGAACTAATATTATCGATTTTCCTTCTACCCTTCATTTTTTTTTGCCTCCAGACGGCAGGAAACACAATTTTTTACCTTTTGTTCGTGGTAATGGGGGAGAAATTTTCTAAATTGTTGGGGAAAAGTTATGCGAAAAATATTATGTTAGTTTCCTATTCTACTTTATTATTCATATTGTTCCGTTATAAAAATATATATCCACATGATTGATGATATAATTCTATTTATTTGTACTTGAATTATCTTCAGCTTTCATTTCAATCAAATGAATTTTCTCGTCTCTTTCAATAGAAAATTATTCGCAATATTCATGAATGCCTCAATATTCTACATGATATTTTCATAATACTCTACAATCACCATAATTTTTATGTCTGACGCCTCAATACAGACTGCTTTTCTTGTTCTCTACCAAAAAATTATTGTGGATGTATATTGTCCCATTCTTAATCTTCCAATCATTTGCATATATGTGTGCCTAACTAGTTTTTTTTTCACTTCTTGTTCTTCTCTTCAGTTGGAGATACAGATTAACGTGGATAGAATTCATGACTTGAAAATCATATCGTATGCTTTCTCTCTCAGTTTTGTTTACAAACAAGAGATGGAAGAAGAAAAATTGTGCATGAGATGAAAAATCAATATAAATGCTTCGTGTCAGTTCCAACGCTTTCTTATTGCTCTTATCTTTTTGAAGTTTTAATTTTCTTGTTAAATTGAGATTAAAAATGTTGTGGTGGGAAATGATGGCAAAAGGGGTCAGAGTGCGGTCATAATTTAGATCTCTTGATGATATTGTAATACTGAAGGGTAATTCAGAACTTATAATATAAATGCTACTTGAGAATGTATCATGCATATCAGGAAGTCAATAATTTAAGAACCATTTAGAATGTTTCTTAAATATAATACATATTTATCAGTTTAGATCATCCACTAAGAAACTCAAAGCTGATTTCATGATTTATCATCATAAATTTTCAAAATGCTAAAATGTGAAGCTGTAAAGAATGTATTCAGCAGTAAAATATTCACAAAATGTCATACCTTTTTATAAATCAGTGAGTCAGTCAACAAACAACTCAATTTGCTCTAATACCTGTCGATATTTATACAATAGAAACAAGTGATGAAATTTAAGAAATGTTTTGATATTTACATACGCGATATTGGAATCATTAAGGAAGTTCCACATGATTGTTCACGAGTAAATGATACGTAGAAAGTATATCAAAATGACAGCATTAATAAATTGAGTAATTTAAAGACAAGTCATAATGTTTTTGAGAACACTAAAGCCGTTTATTCAGTTGATTCATACATGTCTGTTTATTTCTCCTTCCATCATCAAAACTTATCAAGCATCGCTGATGTGTGTCTCGTATCGTACCAAATCTAATTAATATTCATAATTCCATAAATATCAAATTGTATGTACGAGAAAGTTTAATGAACTTTGAAGTTTATGCATGTCCAATGCAATTGCTAAGAGAGTAAAACATGCGAGGAATTTCATGCATATACAATTGATTCAAAATAGTACTGAAAAAAAAGGCATTAAAAATAGATTTTACAGCAAACATGTTTACAGGTTTCTGTTTAGAAATAAAAAAAAAAAACATAAGCATAAGTTCTAAATGAGATCTAAAATTAGACGATCCAAGTCTATTTTCTCTATACTTGCATACATATTTCATAGCCGGAATTGCCGCGTATGTATTTAAAGGTCGTAAATTTAATTATTTCTCAGTTTAAAATAGATACGCTACTCTAAATAGTCTAAGAACGCTTGTCTATGAAAATATTTATGCTGCTTGTTATGATACCAGTATTTATGTTATTTTACGAGATGAGACGTAAAAAAATAAAAGAATAAGTTTAGATAAACAAACTGACTGGCATTTGTCGTATGTAAATTTTCCGTCCCTGAAGAATTTCTTTTAAATTTCTTTTTCCTCTCATTTTATTTAAATAACACACCCCAAGTGTCTTTCAGCATTTTCGTCATAATTTTTATGGCGACAACTTCCTTTCCCTTTATTGTTTACACAGAAGAAACCAGAACTCTTTTAAAATTGCTCTCTAATGTCTTATTTATTAAATAAATGACTTAATCTGTGCTATAGACTAATCCAATCAATTTTTCTCATTATTAACTCTATTTACAGACAATTGACAAAAATAAACACGAAAGATATCTTCAAAAACTCAACACATTAGGTTAAGACTATAATAAATTAGATTTTTCTTTCAAAAATGTGGCGATCAAGTTTACTGCTGGTCGTTGCATTATCAGTAACGTCATATGCAATAAGTAAGTATTATGATTGATGCCTTCATTCTATCGATTAAGAGTTAATAACATTAATCTTTCACACTTATTTAGTTCATTCACCACCTCGGATAACAAAACAGCCGATTGCCGAGGAGATGCTGTTTCAAGTAGCATCAGCCGGTGATACAGAAAAACCATTCATTATTGAATGTGAAGCAGAGGGAGAGCCGGCGCCAAAGTGAGTATATCTTTTACAATAATAATTTTTCAATTGCGAAATCATGCGCTTAATGGTCCAACAGTTAATTCAAATTTTTTTGTTCATACTTCCTTGGATATATGAAATGAGAAAACAAAAATTGTGTGTGGATGTATGTATACGAGAAAAAGGGGAGAAATGGCAAATTGATCGTAAATTATTCTCGCATTTCATATTCTCATAATTTTTATGTTTTATTATATTTTTTGGCAAATAAAAACTTAACTTTAACGTGCTGTATTTCGACTGGTAACATACATAATTTTCAAGCAATGAGTCAGCAATCGATTTTTCTTCCTTATTCCCATTCATAATTTTTTTTACAACCCGTTTACAACGATGCTGAGGTTACGAAAAATCACTATTTCTTTCACAACTATCATGCTGTTTTCTATGGTGGTCGGTCTCAAATTTAATGAGCTTAGCGTGAGATGATTGAAAATGATCAAAAAAGTTTTTCCATCCAATCAATACGTCTGGAAAGACTGAAAGAATTTTGGAGATATTTTTAGGACATTTGCCAATGAGATATAGATGTAGAAAAAAAGAGCGAGAGATTAAATATAATATCTTGTTTATGGCTCTATCTATGGAGCATAAAATGTTACTAAAAATACATCTTTATAAACGAAAACAATTTTTTTTTAAATATTGAGAAGAAGAAAATTTCGCATGAATATGTGAGAATGTGCTACACATGGCGAAAATGTGCGTGAAATATTTGTCTGTGAAAATAATAGACGAATGAGTCTTGACGGCATAAAATGTGTTTTTCCTTGCATTATCATATCAAACATGTCGAAAATACTATCACCAAAGGGGTCGTTTACTTATGATATCCAACTTGTCTTTCTGAAGATTGGTGACATACTTTAACTATTATTCTGTAAAAATATCGCGATATAGGAACAAAAATGTACAATAATTGTGAGACTTCACTTGTAAGCAACCCCAAAAAAAGCTTCATTAAGCAATATTTCATCGATATTTTTAGAAGCAAGCATTAAAAAAGTTGTGAAGGTTGAAGAAATAACCATTATGCATATCGTTCAATCAATTATTCCTATCTTCAACCTTTTCTATCACTTTACCAAAAAAATAAGCATTAGGGGGAACAGGAAATAATCAAAATTAGTTTTATTGTAGACGGAATTTCCACAGATCAATATTTTTTTTATCGTTTTGGGAGCAGGCAAAGAAAGTATAAGTGAAATAATAAGAAAAATTGGAAAATCACTAGCAATCACAATAAAAAAACATTTGCTTTCACTATTCAGGCTCAGGTTTCAACATATTGATTTTTCTCCTTTTTTAGAAAAAAGAAAAGCTTTATTTTGTTGCCTAGCAATTGATTTTGCCAGAATAGGACGATAAAAGTGAGGAAGAAGAAAGCCGGTAACATTAAATGCTGCATTTTTCTTCTTCATCCTTTGCTCGATTTAACTTTAATGTGAACAAAGCGAACACAATCATTTTTCACATCTTCTGACATCGTTCTTGTTTGCTGTGCCATGATGATGCGATGAATCACAATAGCTTCTTTGCTTTCCTTTTTTTTTTAAAAAAAAAGAAGAGTCTTTATTTTGAAAATTTCATCGTTTTAATGGAATTATGGGAAAAATCCATTTGCAAAATGATTTTTGATGTGAATAGCTGCATATGTCTGTCATTATTAAAGTCACTGTTTTTCGTAAATTGTTTCAAAAAGTATAGGGTGTTATTGATGATGTCAGCAGATAAATATAAGATTCAGAAATGAAGATGATAATCCCATCACACAATTACTCAGTCCTTGAGACAAGCCACTCCTTTTTATTAATGAAAATTAAGTTGCATCTTATTTATTGAGACCCACACAAATGGAATATTTTTTAAATTACCTCATCAGGTTACAAACAACAGTATAGGACGTTAAGTTAGATTCATTCTGGCTTGAGTTCAAAACCTGTCACACATTCATTCATAATATATACATAAGTTTAAAATAATAAAGAAGTTCTTTAAGAAACAAAAGAAAAATAATTATCGACTTTATTCAAAACAAGTTTTGAGCACATAAAAGAGTGCTAAATTTGCTCAGCTACATTTCCAAAAGTTTTTGTATATATTTACAGTACTTTTTTGTGACTGCTATAAGCGTTTAACATAAGAAACGTGCTCATAATTGCTTCAGACACAAAAAGAATGCTGAAAATTTTCACAAAAGCAGGAAAAATTTGTTGCATGCTAGCAAAGATTAAAATAACAAGTAAAGTTCTCTCTTGTTGTAAAAAGCCATTATTCGAATAAACAACATAAAACCTATTATGGAAATAAGACTAGCATTTTTGTTCCTATAACATACGATGATGAAAATACAATATAAATCGATGTGCATGCATTCGGAAAAAACTCCCTCTGACAAAAAAAAAAAGTCTACATTTTATTTGGGGAGAAAAAAGAAGTTTTTTTTGATGGTTTAATTCTAATATGGATTGTTGCTGCTTTTTCATCATTATTCCATTTTCCGAATTTAACAATTGATATACAAATGGAACTTATTTTTCAGGGGGGATGTAAATAAATTCCGATTATTTATTCATAATTCTGATTATTTTCCTTTTTGTGAGCAATCAAATTTGTTCTTGTGGATCTGAAATGCAGAACTTTTTTCGACTCGAATTCCAACTTGTCGTAATAAAAATTTGTGCAAGCCATAACAAGAAATGGAAATGTGATTATTGTATTCAGTCATAAAAAAAATTCTTATTATGTGACGGAGATTAAAGAAAGAACCAGAATTGATTGCTTTAACTCACGTTCCGTTCTACACTTATCAAAATTTATTTTACAACTTGAACAAATTGAAGTAAGAATTTGTTTTAGACAATATGGAAAATGTAAAATTAGGTCGAAATAGAAGGGGACTGACTGTCAGTTCTCATTATGGTTCAATTCTCATTTCCGACTCTTCCCCCCAGAAAAAAAAGTGAGAATATCTTAGAGTGATGATAATTGAAGTGCTCTCTTACGTCTGAGCAGACTTTCTTATTTTTGGCGCACAAAAGGGGTTGATATAGACTGGAATTACTCAGAGTGTAAGACGAGAGTGTCAAAAAAAGAAACTTGGGGTAGGAAGACAATTTAAATTTTGCTTTGCATTAAACAACAAATTGATTTCCTTTATTCGGTTATTGTGAGATTCTTAAATTCAATCCTTTAATAGGTAATTTCGGTCAAATCAAATTAAATTATAAAGGGAAAAGGAAAAAGTAAGCAGGTGGCACTGATCCATAAAAGTATTAAATTGTTTAAAGACACTTTTAGTGACAGTTTAATTAATTATGCGGTGAAGTATATTATTTCACGTAAAAATGTAGTATTTGCCCTCATATATGTAGTAGGAATCAACCACAAGATTTGAAATCACGCTTAGAAAATTAATGAGAAGGGAATTGGATAGTTCATAAATGACGTCCATTGAAAATTACGTTTCTCAACCTTTCTCAAAGTCTCTAGCCATAGACATAAGTTATGAATGAATACAGAAGAGAAATATCATTCACACAATTCTGTTTATTTCTTTCATCTCATGACTTATATTTTAAAATAATTTTCAAAGGCCATATACCATCTGCATAGCATTGTACGATGATGATGATGACCACATATCCACTATTTTTTTCGCATCCATTGATTCCCATATAATTTTCTAGCACTATGCGTCTAAATATAGAAAATAGTCGATACATAAGATAGAGACTATTTATTATTGATTCGGGTTAAATTGGAAAATAGATCAAAAGAGACTTGGTTTAAAGTCATAAAATAATAAGAAGTTGAGTAACAAATTCTCGAGCACAAACAAAAATGTGCATCACATTTATAAAAGAATTTACGATTGTCATTGGTTTTACGTCTTTGCCGACTATATTTCAAAACTCTTGAATGTGTTTCTATTTATTGAGAATCAGCGTTAATGAAATGAATTAGAGTATCAACCATATGTTCCCAACATAATCTAATTTTGTATTAAAGATGTGAGCATGTAACACATGTTGATTAAAAAAACTTTAGAAGTAGAAGAAAAAAGAAAAATCAAACACTTTTCGCTATGGTTGTAAATTCTCATTCATTGGTCTAATTATGGATGAAATAAATTAGAAGGAACTTGAAATGTGTGAATGATATGTTTAATATTTTTGAAACATAACTATTTTAAGATAGTTAAAATTGTGTGGCTGTGTTTAAAGGTTAAGTGCTTATTTTTAAATTAAAGATCCTCTGACATTTACGTAAACTGTTCATTGCCACTTTGCACATTAAATTTTATCGCACACAGTCAAGAGATTCCCGATTATTTACTGTCATGTCAGCCTGATTATTTTTCCCCATGAGTGTTAAATTTCTTAACATTGACAAACCATGTTCAATTGCCATAAAACATATTTAAATTGCTAAAATTGAACTTTTTTATCATAAGAAATTTGATATCTGAATGAAATTTAAACAGGCATAAGCCACAAATTTTCAATGACTCAGTATTGTCCAAATAATGCTTAGCTCATTCTTAAAAAGTATATAATTTAATATTCAAAGAATGTTGGTGATGCAACGAGCAGATGCTTTAAGTTCAAAGTATCCGTTTCAAAACACCGGACATGAAAGCGAGAGAAGAAAGAGAAATTCGATTAAAAATGAAATTTTATACCTTAATCGCAACTGTATTCTGCCTTTCGCATATTCTGTTTAGCTACAATGTTGCGCATGCATTTTATAGCTGTGAAGAATGTAAAGCTTTAAATTGCTACCTGACATTCTATCTTTATCAGTAATAATTAACAAAAATTCTAAATATCATCATTATATATTAATTAAGACCAAAATAAGCGAGAAATATTAGCTGTAACTGAGAACCTTTAGGGCATGTTATAATTTGCATATTTTACGAGCAGCATTTCTATCCGTAAAGTCATGTCGGTCTCTTTTTAAAGCGGAAA